TCCCTATTTCGGGGAGTATCCTTCTTTCAGGCTTCGGCCGAAGGGTGTGCTCGTCCTTCGGCCGGTTCGGACTTCGTTTATAACGTCCGTGATCTCGGGGGGGTCCCGTCGCCTATTTATGACGCGGGCTAGACTTTTGGTTGGTTTCCAACGGCTGCCGTTGCCCATCCCTGAGTTTTGGGATTTTGTCACCTCGACCATGATTTCAGGCCTGTCGTCCTGCGATCTGGCGCGTGGACGGCGCGGTGAGCTTCCCGTTTCAAGACGTGGGCCGTTTGCGGGCCCCTCGTCCTGGGGACATCGTCGGCCATACCTGAGCGTTTCACTCTAGGCTTACGGGGCCAGGACGATGTGCTCTCTCAGCTAGGCCTGAGCCCTTCGCTGATACAAAATACAAAGTGGAGCAGACCTGAGCCTTTCGCTCGAAAGCTGCTGATACGACACGTGGTATCTTCTATTTACATTTCCAAAAATAAGCGGAATACAATAGGTGCGTTGTTCATGGCAACGGCTTTTGGGCGACGCGATTAACGTCTCGGAGAACGAGGTGTACCGTTTACCGCTCTCGGGCATAATGCCATGTGCGGCCGGTAGCGACTCTCATTTTTAGATGCCCGAGTCACCAAATAAAGGTGGCTAGGGTAGGTCGAATGACCCGAATATAATTCAAATCATCAAATAAAGATGTTCAGTAGACCAGAGCTCGGGTTCACCGCTCTGGGGTTTTTAACCCGCTCTACGGTGTCAGTAGTAATTATTTATTATTTCAATTTTCTTCTGAATAGTTAATAAAACTATTTTTTCCGGAATAGTAATACAACTATTATATATATATTTTAATAGTAGTAAGACTATTTGACTCCATATTTAATGCATAAAATAGGAGGAAAATTCAGTGGCACCTACCTCTTATTTGGGCCGAAGCCTGTGGTGCTTAGAATTCCAGCCCGCCAGGGAGACAATTGATTGGGCCTGCCCTTTAGGAATAAAGTCTTTGAGATAATAGCCAGCCCAAGACCCGTTCAATGGCCAATTTCACCCGCAGGGAAGAGTGTGCTCGCAAGGGGGAGCTGATTCCAGCCCTATGTCGCTGCCTGCCAGTCTCTTGTGGACGAGGAGATCCCCGCCATCCCTGCCTGAATCATCCCGGCTGTGTCGGCCAGGTTGCGTGGTTAGCACACCGTCGTCTCGCCAGGAGGCCACAATTTGGGCGACGGGTCTTTGATTTGGGGCCGACGGGAACCAGGACGATGGGGTGGACGAGGGCCCCCTCCGGCCGGTGGCCTGCCTATTTGGCCACTGGTGAAAACCAGGGACGATGAGGGTCCCTACCTTGGCCGAAGGTTCGTCGATGTGGTCGAGGTCTACGTCGCCGTTGCAGGGGGTCCGTTGCTTGACCGGGGTTGCTTTGATTTTGACTGGCTGAAAGCGAAGGAGTCGTGGCCGACATGTGTTGGCCGATGCGTGGCCCCCTGTTGTGTGCCGGTCGATGAGCTGTCTTCCGGCCGGCGGTGTTGCTGGCCGACGACGGTGTTTCTTGGCCGACAGCGTCGCCGTTTTACCGTTCGAACTGCGTAGGCCGAAGAGGGGAGCTGTTGGCCGAGGTGGGAGCTATTGGCCGAGGACTGCTGCACACAGGACCGAGGTGGGAGCTATTGGCCGAGGTGGGAGCTGTTGGCCGAGGTGGGAGCTGTTCTCCCCCTGTTCAGGTTTGGCCGAGGGGATCCAGGGGTACCCCCACTTGGACGAGGGACGATACGTGACCTCTGGCCTGGCCGAAGCTTGCCTCCTTTTGGTCGTTGTTAAGTCCTGGCCGACGTGTGATTTCTGACAGGCGGGATTGCTGGCCGACGACGGTGTTGCTTGGCCGACAGTGTTGCTGTTTCACCGTTTGAGCTGTGTAGGCCGAAGAGAAGCCTCCTAGTGCTCTTGTGGCCGAGGTGAAACTTAGGTCGGCATTTTGGCCGAAGGATTATTGGATGAGGGGCGTTGACTGACTTTCCTTGGCCGAAGGAGCTGCCTCTTCTCTGCATAAGCCGTTGTTTTCTTTTTTGTTTGGCCGAAGAGCAGCTCCTACTGCTCAAAAAAGAGGGCCTCATTTGGCCGAGGTGAACGTGGGACAACTCCTTTTTTTGCCTGAGTTTGACCGAAATGGACCTGCTAGAGAGGTGGGGCCTGTTGAACAGGGAGCTATTGGGTGTTGGAAATTGGAATTGATATGTAGCCTGCCTTGTGTCATTTGCTTTGGCCGAGAATTCTTACGCCGTTGTGGTATTTTATTTGCATGATGCTTGACCCAAGGGGTAGTTGGGAGTGGGACATCTCATTTGGATACTAGGCCGAAGGGGGGATGTTGCTCCAGGTAGAGCCGAGGTGGCACCACGCCACATTTACGTGATTTATTATTGATTGGGAGGATCTTACTTGATGTATTCTAGCTCTCAATGAAAGCACCATTTGATGAAGTATTAACTCCTAGAGAGAAGGGAGAGCTAGAGAGATAAAGTGATATATATAATGAATTTCCAACCCTTTACATGACTCCCTTAGGGAGTATTTATAGGAGAAAAGCGGGCTGGGCTTCCAGGCTTGGGCCTGGAAGGCCCATTTACAATAAAAGGCCAATAAATGGCTAACAAATGGTATTTAATCTATTCTAACGGGTATACATGAATAAAATGGAGTGTACAACGAAATAAATGCTATCTACTGAGCGTATGTGGGCCGCTGTCCGGGTCCAATAGTCGTGAGACCCGGAGGTCCGAGTCTATATACTCTATCACTTATTTTTGTCATTTTTTCTATATACACTTCCCAATCTCACAACAAAGAGCTAGACACAAAAATTCAGCCAGTAATATTTGCAAAGAAAATATGACTAAACAATGTCAATTCATTCAACTCAATAGATAATCAGCTAAGAGTTAACAATCGATGTCATATAAGATCAATTTTAGTTAAAGGTTAAAGGTTGATACTCTATTTAATAAATCAATTATAAACTTTATACTATGTGCGATTTATACTTTCTAAACTTTAAAAAAGGTACCATAAAAAAATTAAAAAAGGGAAGTTGTGTTTTATTTTCCTTTTGTTTTAGATTTTATTTCTTGATTATAATGATTAGTATGATGGTATTTTTTTGGTCGAACTTTCAGCCTTTTGTAGTATCTATTTTATGTTAATACCAACATCTTTGAACTAGAATGAAATTTGAATATGTGATCTTCTCCTTGGGAGTGTCACAATGGTGTCATTGGATTACAAATTACGTGGCTCAATATGACAATATTAGAAAGGTACATCTAAATATGGATTATACCTTGTTATCTAAATTATATGGATAATATCCTCTTATCTAAATTAAGTAATAAGGTCTTCCATGTTAACTATGGATAGTATTCATGTTTATTAAATCTATAAACAGTTCCTAATATTTGAAATCTCAATTTATCAATTAAAGAAATTGCAATATGTCACTAAAGACCAAAGTATATCCTTCGAAAACAAAATATGATTAGATTTCATTTTTCGAAAATGTGACCATTTTTTGTCAATTAACATCCTTAATTCTAATTCCTACCCAACTACTCAGTACTCACACCACCTCTACGTAATGTTGCGTTCAACAGCAACTGCAACCGAAAAGTCATCAAAAATTTCTGCTAATTTTAAATATCTTTTTTTTTTTGAATTTTTTGCGACATGTTTCCAATCAGTGACACCTATAACGGCGATAGTGACATTGGTGGCAGCAAGTGAACACAATTGCCACTGACAGTGACATAATACACCAACAATGATATAAAAAATGCCTCTATCATACTACATACTCCATATATTGGTAGTAACATCACAATTTTCCAATGGTAATACTTGTTTTGAAATTCACGCCTTCCCAAAACAGACAACAACCCAACTTGATCAAGTTTGACATATTATTAGACACTAACTAACTACTACCTCCGTCCCGTTGGAAGGTTCCCATAGCAAAATGACACGGTTATTTAGGCAATAATTAAATAAAGTACTTCGAGTACATTTTGAGAAATTTTTTTAATAGGTATATATTATAATGTAGTTAGTATTGATAACTGTGATGTTATAAATGTATTATTTTTAATATTTAATGATTAATTTGTCACTTAAGACTGTTAATTGTTTCCTAAAATGGAAATGGGTCTAACGGGACGTCCAAAAAAGGAAAGTGAGAACCTTCTAATAGGACGGAAGGAGTACTATATACTAACCGTTAATTATACGTAGTATATGAAAACAATTCTCTCGGTACGCTTATATGGGAGTATGGGAGGTCATTAAACAACTTGTCTATGTATCATTAAATAATTTCTTTTAATGAGACAAGACCTATATATCATTATGTTATAATAATGTTACTCTAAGTAAAATAAATACATGTAAAAATACATGTAAAAAGTACTTAATAACATACTTCCAAATATATACTCCCTCCGTCCCTAAAAGGATTGCCAAGTTTGACCGGCACGTAGAATAATAAAGTAAAAACTGTGCGGTAGAGATTTGTGAAGAGGAGAGAGAAATAACTAGAGCCACAAATTGATTGATTAAAAGGGAAAGTGACAAAGTTTTTGGGACAACCGAAAATGGAAAGTTGGCAAAGTTATAAGGGACGGAGGGAGTATGATAATGAACTCATACTTAGTTATTTGGATAGAAAGATAAACCTACTGTCGCAATACGCGGTTGAGTCATAATCGTCTAGATCTATAAACCTCCAACAATCTGTATGATTACGCAATTGTTAAATCATACTCTTATGTAAGAAAGAATTTACACAAAATATTAAACAACACACCTCATTTAGAAAATAACAATTGTATTATGGAATAGAGAAATTGATTAGGTTAACATAGTAGGCAAAAACAAAAGTTTGTTGATAGCATGGTCTAATTTGAAGTGACCAATGATTAAATGTTTTAATTGAATGATATAAGTGGCAACAATAATGTACTAAGGTAGGAAGATTAGCAAAATTTGAAATTAGTTACCTGAAAATGATGCCAAAGACGGAAAGAAAAGGAAAGCAACAAACGAAACAGGTGCTGCTCACAACTGCGTCGTCTTCGTCATCACCATTAACAAAAGCCTAGAGAGTCAAAAGCCCCTATCGACCAGGGGAGAAGAAGAAGCTTTTCAACTATCAACCCCAAAGCATAAAAATCCACAGTACTCTTTAACTCAGAAATCTTTTTGTTTGTATTTTATCTCTCTAACCTTCAGTTTCTCTCTCTATATCCGGTTCTGTATCTGTACATCTGGTGTCTACGCACACCGTATTTCACCGTCTACGATTTCGTCACCCCGTTTCTAATTCAACCCCTAAATCTCATAAACACTTTGCCTCGTGTTCAAGTCTTATAATCTTTGTCTATCTTTGCACAAGATTTCAATTTCCAAGGAAAAACCCTAGCTTTTACTCAGACCTTCAAACACCCTATTTAAATTTTAATAGATTAATCCTAATTTGTCCACTCTGCTGGTGCTGCAATTTTGAGATTATGTATCGTGTTTTACTTTTCTCAGGTAAGTTAAATTCGATGTTATTAGATTTGGTACTGTTGAACTTGTTTTTTATTCTATCTTTTCTGATTGTTATTAATCTGCATGGTTTTAATCTTCCTGAGCTATAGTGAGTCTTTCTGTGTGGCTGTGCTACCTGCTTATGTTTACAATTTTAATCTGTTTGTAGTGTTTTTTAGTCCTAATGCTGGATCCTTTTGGGAATTGAAGTGTGCATTACCAGTTGTATATTCTATACTACCATAGGGAAGAATTGCTAGCTTGATACACACATGTAACACTTATTTGCGTAATTGTTTTGGAACAAGATAAAGCTTACACATTTAATTAATTATAATCATTGTTATTGTCATTATTATGCTTAGGTTTGTTAAAACTTGAAACTCATTCTTTGTTGCTATTGATGCAGTTTGACATGCACTCTTTTCTTCTGTGATCTGATGCTCGGAACAGCATGCAGATACTAGTTTGTAAAGATGCAAAGGTATCATGCTAACAGCTGCACTAGTGCAGTAAGTAATAGCACATTTGGTGGAGCATCAGGTAGAGACATCTCTAGAGCTGAAGCTACTGCAATACCACCTAACTTCTCAAGGTCTGGTGTTGTTTCTCACATATATAGATTGCATGTGCTTTGAGTAGTGAAACTATAGCTTTATGAAGGCACCCACATCCTTTCTTTGAGATATCTGCTAGTCTTATCCAGTGCAATGATAAGATAATCTTTCATAAAAATAAAAAGGTTTACCATAAATTGAAAGCGCATGCGGTAATGCTGAATATACCAAGTCATCTTCATTACACAGTTATCAGAAGCGATTACTATTAACCTTTTCCGTTGATTTAATATTGCATGTATTTGACTAATTAAGGATATATTTTCCTAACAAGAACCCTTATTTCTTTATTCTTTCATATGAGTAGTACATGATTGCTATTTCTGATCCCTGATTAGCTTTGCATACAAGAAATGCCTATTCCATGGAACTGTTTCTTTAAATCATTAAAAAAATCCCTTTAGTGGAAGGATGATCTCATGTTGTCAACTTGTCATTGCAGACGATCATTGCAACTGACGTCGTACAAATTGAAGTGTGATAAAGAACCACTAAATTCCAGGCAAGTTATGCGGATGCATATTTCAGTATTTCCTTTATGTTCTTATTTTTTGTTGTCTGGAATACTTATTAGTTATTAATCATTGTAGTTGCCCCCCATAAATCTGTCAGAATCACTGTGCATTTATCTTCTTCATGTAATGTATTTTCTCTATTTGGTGCGTGAAAATGATGTTAACATATGTTTCTGGTGTTGGGGTAGTCAAACCTGTAGCCTTGGAGATTTGGTCTTCAGATAGTTTTGAACGTGCAATTTTCGAAGATTTAGTAACTTCAAGTTCTTTATGTTTTCATTTTGCCACAACTTAAAGGAATTTTGTTTTGTAACTTTTCGGTTGTAATTAATCTTTCTTTCAAGGTAAAGCTATCAAGTTTTATGGTTTGATCAATACATACATATTATCGTATACTCTCATGCCCTGTGATTTCCCTTTTTAGTAAAACACATTGCCTTGAATCACCGTTTAATATTGCCAAGACTTATTATGACATATGGTTTAAGTTTAATTTGGCTTATATTCGTTCCCAGACTTGGGCCGCCTGACTTTTATCCACTGACACCTAATTGCCCCGAAGAAGTACTCAACCGAGACTATGTGCAATCTGGTTACAAGGAGACAGTTGAAGGGCTCGAGGTATCTTGTAGGAATAAGGATATCATAGTTTAGTCTGTCTAATTTCCCACACACAATCTGTCAGTTGAAGATGACCATGGTTTTAGATTTTGAATGGCATTAACTGTATCTTTTATTTCCGCCTGTTTTGAGTGTTAGCTAATTGTAACTTACTTTGGATATTGTTAGGAAATACGTGAAACATCACTATCACAGGCTCAGGTTTTTTCAAAGCCTGTCATACTTAAATGCAAAGAGGTAGTCTATTTGGAAAATAATTTGGCACAGTGAGTTAGCCAGATCATACCATTGCTTTGAGATTGATTTTAATTTTGTTTCTTTTCTAGGCAATCAGAAAATGCCACAGGACCATCAATGAGTCCCGGGCTAAAAAAAGAAAGGTAAAAACTATTTACCGCTATACTATTTACTGCATGTTTTTAGGTGATGACCTCATAAGCATGAGTTCACATATTTTCCTCAACATATGTCAATTGGTTGATAAATTTATTAATAATTAAGTATGTCTCCAATCTGCATTGCCTTTCATATTCAGTTTCTCCTCGACCTAATATTTATTTTCCATTGTTCAAAGTTTTGTTATATATGATAAAGGAACTTATTCAGTAGAAAATTCAAAGATAAGTAAAGTGTGATGGATCATTCTGATCTGGTGTAGGCTGGCCAAGTATATGGAGTGCCTCTTGAGGGTTCACAATTGGCCAAGGTTGGCATATTCCCTGATCAAAGGTCATGTGGGGAAGATTTCAGGAAGAGGTGGATTGAGGTTAGTCTTTCTCCTTGTTCAGAATTTCATGGGATGTTTATATGAGCCTATGAGGTTGCCTGACCCCAAACTCTTTTGGGAATAAGGCTTGGATGTTGTTGTCGTCATCTTTGTTGTTGTTGTTGTTGTTTATTCCTTGCTCATTTCACATACTTGCATCACAATGCTTGTTTTTATCTTCTTAGGGGTTAGCCTCACAACACAAGAGACTGCGGTCTTTGGCAGATCATGTACCTCATGGTTACCGGAAAAGATGGCTTTTTGAAGTTCTTATCAGGAATAATGTTCCATTGTTAAGGGCAACATGGTTCATAAAACTGACTTATCTTAATCAGGTAACGTTTCCTTGTTCACTAAGTCATCCAGGTTACTTTTTAAATATGCATTTTTGTTAAGACTTATCGAGGAGAGTGGCGAGTTATGTATTCCTTTTTTCTGTAGGTTCGTCCTGTATTTTCCAGTTTATCATCAGGGATGCCAGACAGAACAAACTTTTCTCGTTCAGAGCAGTGGACAAAAGATGTCATTGATTATATGCAGTGTCTCTTGGATGAATTTGTTACAAGAAATACTAGCCAAACTGCTGTAAATATTAGAGATCGGTCTCCACAAATGGTTTTTCCAGGATCAAGTCTGTCAAAAAATGACCCAGTTGCCACCAGTTCTGATCTTGGAGAGCCCTCACTGCATTTTAAATGGTGGTATGTTGTACGTATTCTACAATGGCACCATGCAGAAGGATTGCTTTTTCCTTCTCATGTTATTGACTGGGTTCTCACCCAACTTCAGGTTCCAGTTAAATTGATATTTGTTCAACTTACTCCTGATGTTATTGTCTGCTGTGTAAGCTTTCACCAGGTTTCATATATTCCATTTTTTGCCTTTCAGGAGAAAGATTTGCTTGGGCTTCTGCAGCTGTTACTACCTGTTATTTATGGGTTCATAGATACTGTTGTCTTATCCCAAACCTATGTACGTGCAATGGTGCGAATCGCTATTCATTTTATCCAAGAACCTTCGCCTGGTGGATCTGATCTTGTTGACAATTCACGGCGGGCATATACAATGTCTGCTCTTATTGAATTGCTTCGTTATTTGATACTGGCTGTGCCTGACACGTTTGTTGGTCTAGATTGTTTTCCATTGCCGCCTTGTGTGGAAAATACATTGACTGATGGAGGCTTTTTCTCCAAGGTTTCTGAGGATGCTAAAAGGGTGAAAATGGGTTCTCTTGAAGCTGCAGAACTACTTAGGGACAGGGTACCCGAGGTCTGCTCTGAGTCTGTATCTATTGTTCGTGTAGTTTCTTCAATTAAGAAATGTGCAGGTAGTCTTGCAGAAGCTGCAAAGCCTGACCATCCAGGTCAAAATGTTGCCAAAGCTTTACGTGCTCTGGACAGATCTCTTGCAAACGGGGACTTGCGAATGGCATATAAGTTCCTCTTTGAGAATCATTGTGATGGTATTGTGGATGAAAGTTGGACAGCAGAGATCAGCTCTTGTTTGTTTTCATCCCTTAAACATATTGGGGTAGCCAATCTCTCATTTATCTGTGCTGTTTTTTTCATTTTTGAATGGGCGACATGTAATTTTAGAGACTTCCGTTTTAGTGCGCCAGACGGAGTAAAATTCACTGGTAGAAAAGATTTCTCTCAGATATGCATTGCAGTGCGGCTTCTGAAGCTAAATATGAAAGAAGTGCAAATTTCAAACCAGTTCAAGAATGAAAATGGTGTGAAGATTGAGAATGTTGGAAAAGATTTAGGTCAGCAGAATAACCATTGCAGAAGTGTTGGTTATGGTGTCAGCGAATCTTTCCAAAACATAAAGAGCGGGGTTGGTAAAAGCAAGGATTTTCTACGTTTTTTTGATAGTCCAGGCCCTTTGCATGATGTTATTGTTTGTTGGATAGATCAACATGAAGTTCAAAATGGAGATGGCTTGAAGCGTCTTCATTTACTTATCGCAGAACTTATTAGGGCTGGGCTCTTTTATCCCCAAGCTTATGTTAGGCAGCTGATTATTAGTGGGGTAATGGATGATAAAATACCAGGTGTTGACCAAACAAAACGGAAAAGACATTGTAAAATCTTGAAGCAGCTCTCTGGTCCTCATGTGTATGATGCTCTTCTTGAGGCTCAAATTGCTGAACCGCGTTTACTTTCAGAGTTGATGGATATTTATTCCTCTGAACGTCGGTTGGTGCTTCATGGGGCACTTGACCATTGTAAAAGCCCCAGTGGAGCAAACACTTCACTCATGAAACGTAAATATCTTGATTCAGGTGGTGAGAGTGCTTTGTCTCCATTTGTTGAGTGTAGATCTGTCCCATCAGCGCCAAGTGCTCCGCCAAAAAGTATGCACTCTGTTGAAGCTGAAGACCTGAAGATTTCAGTTTGTGCGGTGTTGCAATTTCCTAGTTCGGTATTAACTGAAGCAGGCCTCCATGAGTATCAGAGAAAAGTTACGAAGCATGTTGTGCCAACTAGTAAAGATTTTATTGAAGCAACACCTGGATGTGAAGAGTGTAGGAAAGCAAAGAGACAAAAGTTGAGTGAAGATAAGAGCTTACTTAAATTTTTTCCACAGATTCCATCAGATGATGAAGAGATTTGGTGGATAGGGAGGTGTCAAAAGCCTGTGGAGTCTTTTAAAATAGACCCACCTCCTAAGCCAACCAAACAATCCACTAGGGGTCGGCAAAAAATTGTCCGAAAAACTCAGAGTCTTGCACAACTTGCTGCTGCCAGAATTGAAGGTAGTCAGGGTGCATCAACCAGCCATGTTTGTGATAGTAAAGTGAGCTGTCCACATCATAGATCTGGTTCTGAAGGTGATCAATCCAAGGTAATTGATGGAACTAAAACTCAAAGATTTGCCGACATTGTTTCAATTGGAAAGCTACTGAAGAATCAGAGAGTTGTGGAAAAAAGAATAATGACCGTGTGGTTAATAGGTTTTGTAAAGAAGCTTGTTGAAGAAGCTGAGAAGAATCTTTCCAAGGTTGGCCAGTATGGGAGATCATTTGGTTCAGGTGATGACCAAGGATCTATACAATGGAAACTTGGTGAAGAGGAGCTGTCTATGATGTTGTATCTGATGGATTCTTGTAATGAATTGGTTTTAGCACCCAGGTTTCTATTATGGTTGTTACCTAAGGTGCATGGCTGTGCCTCTGCAACAATGCATGGCAGTAGAAATGTTCTTGTGATCCCAAGGATTTCAGAGAACAATGTTTGTGAAGTTGGCGAATCATATGTTCTGTCATCTGTTCAGAGGTAGATTTCAATTCATGTTGTCCCTATTTTCATACTACATGTTGTGGTGATATGTTAGTTTATGATATATGTGGTTGATTTCCATCTATAGGCATATTCAAACAAGAACTTTATGCACTAAGCTCACATATTCTATCTAGGTGAGCACAATACTCTAATGTAGATAATATGTGTTTTCAAATTTAAGAAGAGTAGGGGTTGGGTATATGTTCACATATTGTCAATGACCTGATCTTTCATCATCTTGGATTTCTTTAAACTCAAAGGCCTACTTCATTTGTGCCTCTGTACTACATCAGAAATGCTCATTTTTTGTGACAAATTGTGAACCTTATATGTGAGGAACCTTTAAACAAGTTTGAGAGCGTAAACTAGATAGAATGGGTTCTCTGTTATTATATAGGGAGTGCACATTCTCTGTGGTGGATGTTTTGAACCAGTTATACGCTGTTAGAATTTTGTGATTCACCTCCATCAAGATCCCGAATTGTTAGTTAGGGTAATGTTTTTCTCATTGCCCCCTTCCACATATCAGCACAAATTTTTCACTGGCCAATTTGAACATAAATGTTTAACACTGTTCGCGTGTCCCAAGACTTGCTCATATTGGAAGTGTGTGCCCGACCTGAACAGCTGAACTGAACTCTTTAGTGTCTACTGTCTAGTGAGAATAAACATTTTTTCTTGTTGATAGTTTTGTTATGCATCTTCCTTTCATTAGTATGAATGTTGTAGGGCTGATGTTATTCTTTTTTAACTTAAGCATTTGTGTCCATATTTGTATTTGGTTTTATATGCCATGGTTGGGTTCTATTTTCCTCTTATTCGAGAACCTGACAAGACTACATTTCTTACCTTCTCTGCTATGGATTGGTTCAGGTATGAAAATGTACTTGTTGCTGCAGATCTTATTCCAGAAATATTGTCTGCAGTAATGCACCGTTGTGCTTCCAGTATGACATCAAATGGTAGAGTTTCATCTTCACCTTCCCTGGGTTATGCTCGGTATCTTTTGAAGAAATATGGCAGTGTGCCTAGTGTTGTTGAATGGCAAAAGAACTTCAAATCAACATATGATAAGAGACTGGCATCAGAACTTGAATCTGGAAGGCTTTTAGATGGCGAGGTTGGATTTCCACTTGGAGTACCAACCGGAGTAGAAGATTTAGATGATTTCTTTCGTCAAAAGATAAGTGGCATTCGTGTATCAAGGGTAGCTTTGACCATGAGGGACATAGTTCAAAGAAAAGTCGATGAAGCTTTTCAGTATTTGTATGGGAAAGAGAGAAAGCATTTGGGTCCCAACACAATTAGAAGCCCTGGATTTGAAAACTGGGATGATGGGTATCATATAGGTCAACAAGTGGTGATTGGATTATTGGATTGTATGAGGCAGACTGGTGGTGCAGCTCAGGAAGGTGATCCTACCTTGGTCTCATCTGCTATATCTGCAATTGTCTGTAATGCTGGCCAGGTGATTGCTAAAATTCCTGATCTAGCTTCTAGTAGTAATCACCTAAACTCCTCTGTCACATCTGATCCACTTCAAATTGCACGGCGTATATTGCGATTGCATATAACCTGTCTTTGCTTGCTTAAGGAAGCACTTGGAGAACGCCAAAGCCGTGTGTTTGAAGTTGCCCTCGCAGTAGAGGCTTCTTCTGCTATAGCTCAAAACTTTTCTCCTGGAAGGGCTCCTCGCTCTCAGTATCATCAGTCTCCTGAATCCCAAGATCTCACTAATAAATTTGCTGCTTCTGTTTCGGCTCTTGTTGTTGGAGCAATAATACAGGGAGTAGTGAACATTGAAAGGATGGTTTCCCTATTCAAGTTAAAAGAAGGTATGGACGTTATTCATTTTATAAGGAGTATTAGATCTAATTCCAATGGGAATGTACGCTCAGTTGGGGCTTTCAAGGGTGATAATAATTTAGTCGAAGTTTCAGCCCACTGGTTCAGGGTACTAGTTGGGAATTGTCGGACAGTTAATGATGGATTATTTGTCAACTTACTGGGAGATTCTTCAGTAGTTGCTCTATCCAGAATGCAACGAACACTGCCTTTGAATTTAATTTTTCCTCCTGCTTACTCAATGTTCGCGTTTGTACTGTGGAAACCATTCATTCTTAGTCCAAGTCTTGGAACTCGTGATGATATGCAGCAACTATATCAGTCCTTACTGTTGGCTCTTGGTGATTCCTTGAAACACATTCCCTTCCGTGAAGTGTGTCTGAGAGACACACATGGCTTGTATGATCTTATAGCTGCAGATACACTTGATACAGAATTTGCATCCTTGCTTGAATCAAACGGTTCAGATATGCGCCTGAGGGCTTCTGCCTTTGTTCCTCTCCGCGCAAGATTGTTCTTAAATGCGCTTATAGATTGTAAAATTCCACCGCACTCTGTTGGTAAACAGGAAGATGTTAACCGGATTTCATCAGTACAAGGTGATTTGAAAGTGGTATGTGCAAAGAACAAGACTCAGCTTGTATATGCTTTGGACACCTTGCAGTCTGCAAGATTTCATTGGCAATGGCTGGAGATTAGACTTCTTTTGAATGAACAAGCCGTCATTGAGAAGTTGGATAGGCACAATACTTCTCTGGTGGAGGCATTGAGGTCTCTATCACCAAATCCTGATACAGCTGCTGCTTCTGATGACGAGGAAAACTTGATTGAGATAATTCTCACTAGATTACTTGTTAGACCAGATGCATCCGCTCTCTTTTCTGAGGTGGTGCATCTTTTAGGAAGGCCGCTTCAGGATGCAATGCTAAAGCAAGCTAAATGGCTACTGGGAGGAAACGATGTTCTATCAGGAAGAAAATCCATTCACCAGAAGCTTTTTACTATTGCCGTGAATGAAGGTCTATCAACAAAGCCTCAATATCGTAGGCCATGGGGATGGTGTGCTAGTAACAATGATCCCATGTTAAACAAGGGAGAAAAGGGGAAATTTGATGTCTCTTCTCTTGAAGAAGGAGAAGTAATCGAGGAAGAAACAACCTTGAAGCGTTCAGGGAGAGGTTCTGCTCAGGCTATGGATGTTGTCGATGGATATTCTTCTGCTCACCAGCATAAAACTCAGAGAGCTTTTGTGGAATTGGTTCTTCTGTGCATTGATCAGGCCTCTGATGACTCAAGGAACAGGTTTGCTGCTGACATGATCAAGCTGATTAATTCCATCGAGCAGCAAATAAACATGGTTACTCGTGAAGCAAGCAAGCAAGCCGGAGCTGTTTCATCTGGAGTTGATACCCCAACAACAAAAATGACTACTCGAAAAGGTGTTAGAGTTGGGAGTCCTGGTTTATCCAGGCGACCCAATCCTCCAACTGAAACTATACCACCTTCCCCTGTGGCCCTGAGGGCATCCATTTCACTTAGGTTGCAGCTCATTCTGAGAGTACTCCCTATGATTTGTGGAGATGGGTAAGTTCACACTTCATTATGCTTTTGTCACTGAACATCTGACCAAATGCTTGATTTATTTTGGTCAATGTCCTAAGTTAAAAAACTTCATGGTTGATAGCTTTTTTATCTTTCTTGTTTTTTGTTATCGGAAGTTCATTTACCTTCATTTGTCTTATTTTAAAACATTTTTTATATGCCCTAAAAAAGTAAGCAACCTGCTAAGACATGATGCATTCATGCCTTCTAATGGAAGTTTTGAAATTCCAGAGAAGTGTCAGGGAGGGGTCTGAGATACTCTCTTGCCTCAGGAATTTTACGTTTGCTTGGAAGTAGGGTCATATATGCTGATGCTGGCCACTGCTTTAACTCAACTTTTACTTCTAAAAGAGATCCAGATTGGTCAATGGAAGCTTCTGAAGCTGTCATGGGCAAAAGCCTCTTTGATTGTTTGTTATTGGTGCTACATGCGTTGCTAAGTAGCCACCCGCCGAGCTGGCTGAAGATAAGTTCTAGTTCCAAGTCAACCAGCGAATGTAGCAAGAACTACGATGCCTTAGATCGTGATGTTGCAGAGTCCTTCCAGGTTTGATAATTTATTTAACCTCAGTATATAATTTTATGCTATAAAGAGCCACTAAGGGCAGGGAGGGGATGAATTGATGGGATAAATTTTAATATGGATTTTAATGGATGGATAGACAGTTTTCCGATCCATTAAAAGTCCAATAAAGAATGGACTCCATACATTTGGATGGATGGATATCTTCAATCCATATATTTTCTCGCACGCTCCACCCCTAGCTTATCTTTACACACATTTTTCATCGGTCCGTAAATTATCACTCTTTTTTAGCATTTAAGGAAAGGGAAATAGACATTAGTAAGACTAAAACATAGTCAATGCATCTAAATAGGACTAGCGAGAATTATATACCTAAATAGGACTTAAAATTGTATTGGATGACAAATTTACCCTTCCCTTAAAAAATCTTCTGCGAGAAACGATGCCCGGCAAAAACTAAACTCCCTATACATGGTAAGCCATTTGCGGCGGAGATGGCCCAGCGAGAAACCTGAGGTCTCCTAGCACACTACCGATTTCAGATTTCAATTCACCACTGCTCGTTGTGCAGGTCGCTTCCGAGTTTACCGTCGTTCGTCGTCACCGGACTGCTCACCGCTGCTAGTTGCCGGAATGGTCGCTGCTGCTCGTCGCTGGAGTGGTCGCCTGATCTTCTTCTTTGTTCTTCTTCACCCCCTCTTCATTATAATATAGAGTATTGCTTAAAATCAATTATTTCTCTACATTATAAGGCCCTAGAAGGGGAGTTCATCATTACAGTATCATTACACTATTAAAAAATCAAAATATAGAGTATTGCTTAAAATCAATGTCATTGTTTAAATAATGACACTGTGATGATGAAAATGTGAATTACTTGTACAATATCATAAGAATGTCAATTACAAAGTCATAAAAATGTCAATAGAAAACAATGTTAGTGACAATGTAATAAGAATGTCAATGACAATGTCATAAGAATGTCAATGACAAAGTTACAAGAATGTCAATACAAAACAATGTCAGTGACAATGTCATAAGAATGTCAATGACAATGTCACAAGAATGTCAATGACAATGTCACAAGAATGTCAATGACAATGTCACAAGAATGTCAATGACAATGTCACAAGAATGTCAATGACAATGTCAAAAGAATGTCAATGACAATGTCATAAAAATGTCAATAGAAAACAATGTGACAATGTCATAAGAATGTCAATCACTATGACAATAACAATGTCATAAGAATGTCAATAACAATGTCATAAGAATGTCATAAGAATGTCAATAAGAATGTCATAAGAATGTCAATAACAATGTCATAAGAATGTCAATAACAATGTCATAAGAATGTCAATAACAATGTCATAAGAATGTCAATCACTATGACAATCACTTTATTAAAATCATTGATCAACAATAATGTATTAATAATTTAATGTCAATATCAACAATATCAACACTTTAATGGCTTCATCAAAGTCCTGTTTTCCAAGACTACAAGCACAGTCAGGGGAGTTCAAAATCTCATAATAAAACACAGAGAAGTTTAGAGCCAATCCGAGACGGATAGGATGTCTTGGTGCAAGTTCTGCATTCGCGATGTCCTGGGCAGATTTGTAGGCCGTGAGAGTGCTTTCCGCGGCCTCCTTTCGCTCAGCGCTTGTCTTGAACTCAGCGAGGTAGCGGTGGTAGTCTCCCTTCATTTTGAGGTAGAAGACCTTGGAATCACCGGTGGAGGCGGAGGGATGAGTTTGGACTCCAGAAGCTTCAGGATGCCGTCACAGATTTTAGATCTGTAGTCGCGAACCAGCGACGAAGAAATAAAGAAAAGGGAAGGAGAGGCGGAGGAGAAAAGAGAGGGTAAATTTGGAACACTGGAAAAAATTAGTCCTATTTAGGAGTAAAAAAAGTCAAGCTCTTATTTAATTACATACCATAAGTTAAGCTCCTATTTAGCACCATTTCTCTTAAGGAAACAACTGTGCGCTTCATGACGTCATGTATTTTCTCTTCTTCCGGGATCAAGTCTCAGTCTTTTCCATTTTTAAATAACCATTTAAGACAAAGTGGGAGGTAAATACAGGAGGTAGTATTACTTTTTATGTGTAGGCATGAATGCTTACTAATAAAAACTTTAGTAAGTACGTATGTGTACTCTGTAGCAATGCGAGTACTGACCATTAGAAGTACTATTCAATGTAGTATATTTCTCGCTGCTACCAAACGGACTGACCTTGATTTTGCAAGGGAACTAGGGGGCAATTAATTATAATAGGGACGGAAATGTAATGTTTAGTCCTATTTAAGGAAAACAAAACATATGGGCAATTTCCTCTTTCACTTATTTGGCTGGAACCAATGTTGCCAAACACTTTCTTTCCAAAATTACAACAGATTCAGTCATTTCAGCTAACAGTCCCTACCAAACGGACCCTGAATCTATGAAATTTGCCTTCTATTTTTTATTTTATCTTTGCTTATAATACTTTCACTCTGTTTTTGCAGAAGGACTTGGATCAAATGCAATTGCCAGACTCTATCCGTTGGCGCATCCAAACTGCAATGCCAATTCTCTTCCCATCTGTTCAGTACTCGATCTCATGTCAACCTCCATCAGTATCACCTGCTGCTCTTGCTTCTCTTTTACCAAGCAACCCGATATCTGTATTACAATCAGGTGGGACCCAACAGAGGAATCACCATTATCCTTCTTTACTTGGTAGGGCAGCAACCAATTCAGCAGGGAAGGCCAAGCAGCAACAATCATCACAGCCCCCTCCACCACAGCAAGATCACCAACCTGAACTTGAATTCGACCCTTGGATTCTTTTGGAGGATGGGGCGGTAGGGTCAACCCAATCATCATTAAACAGCTCTAACATGGGTGGCGGGGGTAATGATTTGACCCATCAGAAAGCTGCCAGCTGGCTTAAGGGTAGTGTAAGGGTACGGAGGACAGATCTCACTTACATAGGTGCCATTGATGATGACATCTGATTTTGAGTTTACATAAATACTCGTTGTTTATTCCTTCCGTTGATCGAGAAGAGTAAAACTTCCCAGCTCTCCCCCTATTGTTTCTGCTTTGCTGCTAGAAAGTGCCGTTGAGGGAGGCTATTTTCGCCTTTAAAGACACAAGCTGGGTCCACTTGATCAGCTATCTTCTGGAGGGGGCACACGGAGACCCTTCGGACATTATTCTGGTATTCGTTTGTTCAACTCAACTATAGATGGCCCTCTGCTCGATCTGCTAACCTGTTTATTATGATGCCCAGTTCCTGGACCGCGTGATTCTTATATGCGGTTTGGATGTTGTACATATTAAAAATTTATATCATTGTTTCCTTATGTTGTTTTGTTGTTTTGATATCGGAATTCCTACATGATTAATGTACGCCTAGGAAATGATGCTATTTAGAGCTGTTGTCATTTCTTTGAATACATTGGTGTTGTATTTGCCAAATAGTTGTAAGACAAATCATCCCTCTAAGCAAAGGGAGGGGGGAGGGAATAGTGGAATAGAACCATGCTAGTTTAGTCAAATTTGACTATTTTTGTCGCTTCGTTTTGTTGTTAGAATATAATATTAATAATAATAGTAACATTATTATTATTTGAAATATTAATATATTAATATTAAGAATTGTTGCTGCTGGTGCTATTAGTTTACAATTCATAATTGTTATTATTACTTATATTACTACTGCTGCTATTATTATTATTAGTGTTTCCATTCTCATAGAGTCGTAGTCTGGTATTCTAGACTAGGGATGGACTGGGCCCGGGTGGGCCGACCTGGGACCCAGACCATGTGTAGAATGGGTCGGGCTTTGGGCTTCGGGCATCATTTTTTGGGACCGGTCCGTGCCTAACTGCTACTTTTTCAAAAGAAAAATATATTTTTTAAATTAGAGTTAGGGATGGACTGAACCGGGTCAACCTGGCCCGTGAACCGAACCGGCCCGCTACTGTACGGGACCGGAGGTTAATTAGAAAGCAAAAAAAATATACATTGGACCGGCCCGGCCCGGTTTGGCCAAGACCCGGTATCAACCCGGGCTGGTTCCGGGCCCAAGTTTTTTTTATAAAAAAAACCCGATATGAATCGGCTCAGTCCCGGTCCATGCGTAATTAGAGTGGGCCTGATCCGGTATCAGTACTGTTTGGGTCCGGACTAGGACCGGTGTGATGACCAAACCGAGTCGGTATCAGACTTCACTTTTCCAGTACCGTGACTCGCCGGGTCCGACCCTGGTCCAATATTATTCTGGACTCGTATTTAATGCTGATAAATTTCGAAGACTCTTGTAGTGGTTAAAAAGCTTGCAAATAAGCCATTGAACTAACCGATATTATAGGAGGTTCTGTCCAGCCGTCACCATTTGGGAAGGTTCTCGGTGGAATTTTTTAATGATTTTTAGCATCTTCTTCATTAAGTCTAGTTTGCTCATACCAAATTTCAACTAAAAAATCATCCGGGAAGGCAGTCAAATGATTTTCTGAAATATACTGTATTGTTAAACTGCACAGTTATCTTCAAACATTTATTTGACTGCCTTTCCGATTGCAATTTTAGCTGAAATTTGGTATGAGTAAACTAGACTTAATGAAGAAGATGCTCAAAATAATTCATCAAAAAATTCCACCTTTAACCACCCTAAATGGCGACGGTCGGACAGAGCCTCCTATAAAAGGGTTGATTTGTACTCTTCGGTTAGTTCGAGCGCTTATTTGCCCTTTTTCCCAAAAAACTAAAATTGTCTTTTTTTTTGCAAATAGCTAAAACTGTCTTATTAATTTGACAAACTCAATCTTCAAGTCATTTACTGATTGACATAACGCTTTCTTAAAAGGTACTGATGGACATTCAAATAAAGATTTAACAATTTTGAATCAATTTTGCTATAGGTACCCCATACTTACCTCATTTCCTACCTCATATAAATACCTTCTTTTTTATCATCCCTTTTACCCTCTTTCCAAAAACCCTTCCCCCCTCCCCCACTTTTCTTCACCTTCCCTCTCTCTCTCCTCCATCTTTTCTTTTCACGCAGCCCCCCTCATTCCCTCCCCTTTCTTTTTCTTTTCTCCAAAACTTGATTTCTTCTCCATTTCAAGATCTCTTCCCATTAAGTCTTCTCATTTTTACAATCTTTTCTCCCTCCAAGCTTCTTCTCTTGCTTCTCTCCTCTTCTGCCTTTTTTTTTCGTTTCAAATGGAAGAGCTACAATAATCGGACGAAGGGGAGAAGCTCGGTGACGTGGGAGTTGTGTCTAAGGTAACCATCCCTTCTCAAATCAGGAGTTACGTACTCCATTTACGATTTTTCTTCATGTGCGTTTTTTATTTTTATTTTTTCTTTTTTTCGATTTTATGTATATTATGTATGATAGATATAAAAGTGAATGAATGATTATTTTGTTTCATTGTAATGATTTTGAGGTGTTACCTAATTAAATTTTTAGTGTAATATCTCTATTTCATTTTATGCCCATAACATGTTTGTAGAAATTACTCAATGAAGTTTTTGTTGAAATTCAAGACCTTTTTTCCATTTTTTGTACCTCAATGTTTAATGAGTATTTTTATGGATTTCCAATTTAATATGATATAGTAATTTAATTGATGTTTTGGAAAAGAGTATGTTGTTTTTTTGTAATTTGTTTGTATTTTGTTTGGCGGACAGACAATTTAGAACTGCAGTGTCTGTCTAGCCTAAAGTGAACACGGTTTTGTCTTAAAGTCTGGGCCAATTAACTACTCTCTGTCTTATAGCCAGACAATTTTGTCTGGTCCAGACATTAGTAGTCTGGGCCAATTAACTACGCTCTGTCTTACAGTCAGACAAATTTTGTCTGGGCCAGACATTAGTAGTCTGGGCCAATTGACTACTCTCTGTCTTACAGCCAAACAAATTGTGTCTGGGCCAGACATTAGTAGTCTGGGCCATTTAACTACTCTCTGTCTTACAACCAGACAAATTTTGTCTGGGTCAGACATTAGTAGAGTGGGCCAATTAACTACTCTCTGTCTCACAGCCAGACAAAAGTTGGTTGTGCCAGACAACAGTTGTCTCTTCCAGACAAATTGATTATGCCTCACATATGCTATTTGTACAAAATATGTGTTCTGACTACGTGTTGTGTATTAATCGTAGGTATTCACTTCAAGATGACGAATGACTTCAAATGTAAGGCTGAAAAAGAGTTCCAAGCGGACGCTAATTCATTTACAAAAATTATACCAAGTGTGACTTCTTTTGCAATGGAGAAATAAATGCAAGGATGCTGAAGTATATAGTGTTGGGGGAATGTGTCTGTTTTGAACTTGTGATTTTTTGAACATGTATTTTTTTCATATTACAGTTGGGAAAATGTGTTGAATATTGTACAATGTTACATGTTCAATGTTGAACAATTGGATTCAGCGGTATTGTCTGTATGTGTTGAATACTTATGTATGTTGATCTTTTGTTTGTCTGGTTATCTGCGGTATTGTCTGTATGTGTAAATTGTTTGTCTTTCTGCGTGAAAGTAATGTATGTCTAGTTATCTGTGTTGTTTGCCTATCTAACGGTTGTGTTTCACCTATCATAGTCTATTTAGACTTATTTAAATTGCTTCTTTACTGGGGAACTCCATACCAACACATACAATATTATACATGTTTGGTTTTCACCAAATTCATTTGTACATTAACAAATACAATCATATCTCCGGACACTTTTATATAACCACATTAACAATTACTAAACTCATCAAAATGTACTATAAAATAACTAAACTCGTCAAAACAACCCACAAATATACATTCCCACATTAATAACAATTCCTATGCTTCCTCCACCTTGTTCCACATATTTGCATACTCGCAACCTGGAATCAATGACTTTTCCATTTACAGGTGCTCTGCAAAGGAAGCCGCCATCACTCATTCTCCCGACTTGTAGACAGACAACTCTGAATAAAGGCCAGACATTTTATATCACATTACAGACAATTTGTTGCAATACATATGTAGACAGACATACTATTTTCACATTACATACAACTCAAATAGAATGCCAGACAACGCTTTTCACATACAGACAACTACAAATCAATTTTAAAGAATTCATTTCACATTACAGACAAATCAAATGGAATGTCAGACAACTCTTTTCACTTCATAGACAACTACAAACCAATTTTCAACATCCGAAGAGAGACATCACAAAAGTCATCACACGTACTATAAAATACATTTGTAAAATAAGAAGATGTGCATACATACAGTTGCTCTATGTACTCAAACAAATAAATTTGTCTGTCCAGATAGACATCTTATGTAAGACTCTACCAATTATGAAACCATGCTCAGCTAGACAGACGCTGCACTTCAAATTTGTCTGTCAGACAGACAACCCCTTTTCATGTGGAGTTGGACGAAAAATACCAAAAAAATGAGGGAAAATAGCAAAATGACGAAACAGTGCCTCACATGACGGATGGGGCTTCCACCGGCCTCTACAGCTAGAGATCTGAGGCGCCGGGCCGTGCTTCGATTTATGGAGGATTTCAGATCGGCGAGCGTTGATGAGAGGGGTTCGTGGGGGTGAGGACGGGGATTGGTTGTTTCGTGGGGGCCATGACGACGGTTGGTTGTTTCGTGGGAGCCAGGACGGCGGTTGTGGAGGATGGGTTGGGAACTGTTGAGGTTGGTGCGGGAAGGGAGTTCTTGGAAAGTTGATGGGGAAGGAAAAAGGTGGGAGGAGTGGGAGATTTGGAAGTGGAGATGAGGGGGAAGGTTGTGAGGAGGTGAGGAAGGGGAGGTGAAGTGAGTGGGGTAAATTTTTTAGAAGGTATTTATATGGGGTATAAAATGGGGTAAGGTTGGGGTACCTATAGCAAAATTGACTTTGAATAGGTCAAGACGTCGAGTGGATTACATTCTAGTATTCTACAGTAAAGATTATTCTAATGTTAAAAGTCTTAGATTCAACGGTGAATGATTCGTTTTGTCGAATTTGCTCAGTTAAGAGTAATTTTTTGTGTGCATTGTGAATCTAGCAGGTTGTTCGAGTGATTCAGATTTACTTTTTTGAAGGGTTTAGAATGAATTCTTATGAGTTCAAAATTAATTCAACTAAGTCAAAAGAGAAAACAAAAGGTGAATACAAAAAGTAGCTTGTTTGATTAGTAACGATTTTAAATTAGTGAAATGGTAAAAACTTGAGTTCTATAGTAGTATTGGGTCAGTTAGTGCTGCGAACTGGCTTTAGTCCAGTCCCGGGGCAAAAGTGGCCTTAATGCAACTCGAGTCAGAAAACGAGTGTCGTCTTGCTTTGATTTGACTTATAACGAGTCTCTTAATAACTCTGTCAAGTTTGATCGACACGAAAACTAATAAAGTAAAAATTGTGTGGTTGAGGTTCGTGCAGAGGAGAGAGAATTAACTTAAACAAAAAATTCTTTACTTAAAATGGAAAATGGCAAAGTTAATGGGACATACTAAAAAGGAAAGTTGACAAAATTACAAGGAACGG